TTCGCAGGCCTGTGTTATTTAGGTAATCAAAACACCTGATAATTTTGTATGAAGAGCATTTTAAACATAGAAAAAAGTGATTACTTAATAAGGCTCATTAATGAACAAAGATTAATGGTTTCCGATTATGTACAGATAATGTAGTGAATCCAGTCAAGTTAGTACACTTGGTTTGTTTGGAAGTTCGCGCAAAGACTAGAGGAAAGGCAGCTGGTCATCACCGCCAACTCTTGGTTTACTCTTTTACCAACAAATAGTGGGATTAACCATCACATTATAACGCTTCCACACAGCATGTTTGGTGGGAGGATTCGAACTGGCAGATTGCGAATCGAACGCCCTGGCCATGCCAGGCCACACGTTAGTAGAAGAAAAGTTAGAACAATTGCTGTTATTGTATACATAGGGACAGACTTTTGGACAAATCTGGGTTGTTATTACAACTCCTTCCAATGCTGGAATGTCACCATTCTTTGGTTTCTAAACATATCTGAAGATAATATTAAAATCAGCAACTTCGGGTCTATTTTAGGTTAAAAGGAATGAACCATCAATAGGTGGTATAGGTACTGTTCATGTGAACGTATTATAAAACAATATTAAGAACCTAAAGATGTCGCACAAAACAATAACTGATAGATATTGATTTAAATTAAGGAACATAAGTTAGCCAATTTGACACCTATAGAATACGTGGTAATTAAAATATATATGTTATACTTTTTTAATGGTTAATGCATCCCACAACCACTAGGGAATAAATGCGATATGAATGAAATTGAGAATGACTAGCGTTCAGCAGTTGATGGGAAAGCTAAAGTCAGACGATAATCTGGAGGGAAAGATATTGAGTATTCATATTGCATTGTTAACTCGTGGCGTAGTCTCAGATTCCACTTTAGATTGGATTATTTTTTAGACATGTTAAAATTATGGGACATATATATACTGGTAGAAAACTATGATGTAAATTTCCATTAAATGCATCTTTTATGTTGAAAATTATAATCAAAACAAAAAATATTGATACCTGATCGAAAACATTTCATATATGAACAAAACAGCTAAGTTAGAATATAGAAGTTGACCAAATAAAGATGAGATATCAAAATGAGCTAAGTTCTATAAAAAGATAAATTTGTAAAGATGTAAAACTGGGTAAGTTAAACAAGAAAAAATACTCGGTCACCTTTTTTTATTCATGATGCTGCTTTTTCCATTTGCAAGAAAAAGGGGCTAAGTATTCTGTATTTTTTTCTTGTTTAACTTCCACAATGTTACATTTTATCTTCATCGGGTCACGAGTAAAATTAACATCACAGTCAGCACCAACATTTCCTCGTCTGCCTCCCACAAGAAGCAAACAAAGCTGCAATGGCTGATTATACATGGTTAGTTAAGGAAAATACAACTTATTACTACAAGGAAAATAAATCCAACATATTATTGATGGTAGCTTCTGTTTTACATTGGTATGACCTCTTGGATCAACATACAATGCCCATTTTCGTTTGTATGTAGAATATGCTAAATACTGGTCTTCTTTGATGACTATGAAAAACGGATCATCAACAGAAGACATTACAGACATCAAAAGGGGGTTGAACAGAGCTGGTGGAACACTGCAGATTTCATATTTTTATAGTGATGCTATTGCCCCAGTCATGTTTTAAGCAACAGTGATCAATTTCTTAATTAAACAGCAGTAGTGTGCCTACATAATCTCATGATCAATCATCACTGCAAGTTTGATAGTGGGTGTTACTGTTTTCTTTGTCTTTTTAAAGGACAAATTCCAAGATTTTCTTGTTTTTTATGCTCTCTGTGATCTCGCACCCGATTACTTTATCTTGATCAACATTTATTATGTCCAACAACAACAAAAATAATTTACTTGATACTGATTAGTCTAATTCTATTTCTGAAATTAGCTGATAAATTCCGTTGCGCCATTTTGGATGTTGAATGGCACATTCCTAATAAATGTTAATTCAAAAAAAAAAGAGCAATAGTGGGTATAGCCAGTATGGCGGGAAAATGTTTGATTTCTACTATAGTTTTGATTTCGAAAGCGTCAGGTATTAAACAGTGTTTCGCTAAATATATTTTCCTATACTTTGATATATTGTTCATCAATCTTTTCCGAGCTTAAAACTATTAGATTTTTTTCACTGATATTATTTTCATGTAATATTTTAACTTTACTGGACGATAAGGTGTCATGATTAATTTTTCCTACTATTTCGCTTTATCTTTTTTTAAATTGACCAAGAAAAAGCTGACATAAGGTTTTTTTCTTTCATCATTGAGGATATTTCGTTGATGTAGTATCTAAGGGTGGATTATCTTCATACATAAGTCTGTTATCAACTCTGTCCACTTCATCTTCGAATATAATACAATTTAGAAACATTTTACTGCACGGAGATTTGTTTAATGTTTTTAGGCTGAATACTTGGAGGATATCACTCGTTTGGTGTGAGAAGTCATTTCCATTATCAAAATAATACAAATGTAAAAAGAAAAGAAAAAACTCACAAATACAAAAAGCATCACAGCAAAAATGAACGTCTTTAAAGCATTTTAAATGATTCGCCTTAATTGGGCAGCCAGTACTCTATCGAGAACAAGATTCATAATATGCTGTGCCAATTAAGTTATTATTTTGCAACATAATTTATGTTATTAAGTGATAATTATGCTACACATATAATGTTATTTTTTTAGTTTTCAAGTGGACTTCTTTATATTTACAAATGATTTATAGATACATTGAAATAAAAAAACAACATAATTCATAGGATAAGCGAACAATATTAACAATAATTCGAAGCAAGTTTTACGATTTAACAGAACAGTTTAGTGAAATTAACTTCTTTCAGATTCTGAAACAGGTTAATTATCTCACAAATATAGCCTCCACTAGGTGTACTTACTAGTATCGTCCACCAGTAGGACAGCGGTAAATTAACGAACTTAT